TGTAGGGAATAGATATTCAGATCTTAAAGTGAAGTTTGAAAGTTTAGAAGAACAAGGAGTTTGGTTACTGAAAGATTTAAATGGATATTTTGTTTGTTTTTGTTGTTTTACTTATTTTTTTCATGCCCAACCCTCATTCTCCATTCTCCGTTTTCATTTTCAGATCTTCCTATGAACAAGCACAGAAATGAGGCTGTCTGTGACAATTCTGTTATCTCACTCTGTAACACGCACACACAGACATACAGAAACACACACACACAGTCTGAGAGAGAAAAAAGAACCTATTGGAAGTTTTCAAGAGATAAGTGACTGACAGCTGGAAGTTACAACATCTGGGTTGTTTTAGGTCTATCTCTGCCATTAATTGTGGATTGACACAAGCCCCCTTGATCTCAGTTTCTTCATTTAGTAACAGGAGAATCTCGACAATTCCTTTCTCTCAGCTACCCAAAGGACTTAAATCCTTTCACTTCTATCTCTGAAACATTTTTTAAATTATCTCTCTCTTTCATCCCCATGTTAAACTAGACAGAATCATTCTGATCTTCCTTATTTTTTTCTATACCATTTGCCTCTTCTTGAACTTTCAAAATTTATAGAAGTTGGATAACAATGCAACAAAAAAAGCAGAGGGCAAAGAGAAACGATGAAAAGCAAGATTAAAGTACGCAGCTCATTTATCTAACGAATAGCACAAAGCTCCTTTGAATTTATTCATCCTAGTAACAGCAGGTTGAGAAAGGTGGAGTAAACACACTTAATTCTGCAGTGTTGACATTGAGTAGGAGCCAGGGCATTGAGCTATTTAAAAAAGCAGACCATACATGGATGGCATAAGAAATATTTTGTGTGGCCCACACAGTTTTTTTTTTTTTTAATAGATTAGATGCTCAGATTTAAATTAGAGGAAATTTCACACAACATTCAAATATTCAGCCTCTCTTTAATATTTGGAAGGTCTGGCATATACGGCCTACATTTTTGTACCATAGCAATTATCTGACACTAGTAGAAGCTGTTCCCTCTGGAGAAGATATGAATACTTGTGACTTTGTTCATCTCTACCTTGCTCACTTCATGAATTTATATGGCCTGCCTCCCTTCTATAGGCAGTGGAATTTATGTCTCATGACTTAAGTCAAGGGAATGCAGGCTGATGTCCCTAAAACAGCAAGGTACTTAGATTAGGCAGACATGGCTCTGTGTACTTGGTCTTTACTTGTCCTGTGGTCATGCACAAATCCCAGATCAGCTTCAGTTTCCTCATCTGCAATATGAAAATGATAATATTTGCCTCACAAGGCTGATATGCAAATGAAGTGTTTCAAATTATTTGAAAGCACAGTGAAAAACAATTTAGAGCTTTCTCATCAAATAGTTATGGCTGAAGAAGATTCGACAGGAATTGTAGGAGCAGTGCCGTAGTAAGAACTAGCGTGAGAACAGCAGTGTATGGGCATCTATTTTGGAATGTTCCAGGCATCCATACAATCTTCTATTAATAGCATGTTGATTTTTTTTAACATCTTTATTGGAGTATAATTGCTTTACAATGGTGTATTAGTTTCTGCTGTATAACAAAGTGAATCAGCTATACATATACATATATCCTCATATCTCCTCCCTCTTGCATCTCCCTCCCACCCTCCCTATCCCACCCCTCTATTTGGACACAAAGCACTGAGCTGATCTCTCTGTGCTGTGCGGCTGCTTCCCACTAGCTATCTATTTTACATTTCATGGTGTATATATGTCAGTGCTACTCTCTCACTTCGTCCCAGCCTAACCTTCCCCCTTCCTTGTTCCTTGTGTCCTCAAGTCCATTCTCTACGTCTGTGTCTTTATTCCTGTCCTGCTCCTAGATTCATTAGAACCTTTTTTCTCTTTTTAGATTCCATATGTATGTGTTAGCATACGGTATTTGTTTTTCTCTTTCTGACTTACTTCACTCTGTATGACAGTCTCTAGGTCCATCCACCTCACTACAAATAACTCAATTTCATTTCTTTTATGGCTGAGTAATATTCCATTGTATATATGTGCCACATCTTTATCCACTCCTCCGTCGATGGACACTTAGGTTGCTTCCATGTCCTGGCTATTGTACATAGAGCTGCAATGAACATTGTGGTACACAGCATGTTGATTTTTTTTCCACTGGAGAACCAACCCTTCCATAATAACAATCCATTTGATTTGGTTCTGGTGGTATTGAATTCACCTCTGGCTTCTGGAGTAGTTGTGTGACTCAGACAGGACCAACTTAAAGCATTGCAACTGTCTCCCTCTGTCCTCCCTCATACATGGATTGTGATTAGTTCAGGTGTGGGCATT